AAATATTTAATTATTTACCTCTGCGGGTGGGGAATAAAGAAAAGATATTTTTAGAATTGTTTTCTCACGCACAGTTTAATAGCTGCACAAACATACTTATCCATTTCAAAAAATGCCTTCCTTTATATGTTTTGAAGAAATGCTTTTAGCTTGCTATTTTATAATAATGAAATTAGATTGAACTTTGGTGAACTTTGGGCATGCATGGAGCACTTTGCAAATAATTGTTTTTATTAAATTTTAAAGAAGCTTGTGCTGTTAAAAAAAGACAAACTGCAAATGTTTTAGGGCAGACATAAAATCTGTATGGCAAATAATACAAAATATGAAGGGCTTTAACATGATCTTATTATATTCTAATTTTGAATTACCTCTTTATTAATAGCCTATTGTTCTATTATAATTACAGGATCATTCAAATAAAAAGGTACCCAGCACTTCAGCCAATTAATAATTATCAATTAAAATTAACAAACTATTTAAAATATTATCTGTAAAATTTGGTCAGCGAAAATAATACTAGGCGATTATTATTTTAGTCCCTCGGTTCTGCAAAAGTATTAATTGGCGTCACATTGGTCGCGTGCCAAATTCGCAATAAAAAAATTGCGCACACCTTCGCATAGCGACCGAGAGGGTGCCTCGCGGAAATTCGAGCCTCGGAGCATGACGTGTCAGCTCATCAGCGCAAAGTGCACCCTTGGCGGGGGCGCGCATTCACCCCCTGCGCTGTGGCGAGCGCTGGCGAGGCAATCAGGAACATCGCCATCATATATCATTAAAACTCCCCTCCCAGAAAGAGCGTTTGTACAACTCCCCCGTGCTTCTCTTTTTCTTCTCCCACAATTTGCATCGGCGGCGGCCCAGAGAGCGAGGCCGCGCGGCAGGCCGCGCGGCGATAACGCGCGAGGCTTCGACGATCGATGCGGAGCGGCGCTGCAGACATTGATTGCACCCAGCCCGCCGCAGGGCCCGCGGCCGCCGCGGCCCGCCGTCGGCGGCGCTCGCGTCGCCGCCTGCCAGTCATGGCGCGGAGGAGAAGCGGCAACGCCGCAGCCTCCATTAGTAGTCCGAGAGCGCGGCTTTGTGTGCTCGTTCGACGTGGCGACCTAGCTGGAAAAAAAGAGATGCGGCGCGTCTGCTGCTGCTGCTTTTAACAAATGGTGGAGCTGCTCGTGACGGTTGCTCGCCCGAGCAGGGGACGAGAAATATATAATAAAGAGCTGAGCCGAGCGACGCAAAAACCAAGCTCTCTCGCTACTCGCTCGCTCGGAAAATACGACGCGGAGAAACGGTTTTTCGGCCGCGGCTTTCGCGGCCGCACTCATTTGACCGCAGATTCTGATTATATAAAGCGTTCGTTAATTAATGTTAAATTGAGAATTTCGGAATTTTTATTAATAATTGAAAAATACTAACTTTTTCACTCAGGAGTTGTGCCTCAAGATCGGCTCGGTGGAGAAGTTCATTTTTTAATTTTCTAAGGGGGTGTTAGAGATTTTGGGCTGAAATTCAGGATTTATAAACTTAATTAGTTTGGCTATGGAACTGCAAACTTGCATTTGCGTTAAAACAACGTAATCTCCATGAAATTTAAATTTTGCACTTGGGAATGTTGTACCGAGGAGTCTTAAGTTTTGTTGAGGAATCGTCATTTTCACCAAGTTTTAATTGCAGTAGGTCTGTGAAAATCTCACATTAGGAGGGCTGAAGTTTACTTTAAATGATGCTCTATTCGGATTTTTCATAAATTAATCAGAATCCCGGAAATCAGCTCAATTTCATTTAATAATTTAGCGGCGCCGTTTCAAAAACTCGGCAGCGCTGAGCTGGATTTCACCATTTTATCAATTTCCTAACACTTAAAATTTCTATAAAATGAAATGACGACGTTCACGTGAATGAGTTGCGTCAATTGTGAAGGGAACATCATTTCCAGAAAGCGGATGTGCGTCTTGCTTGCAATCGCGATTGGGAGAGTCGAAAAGCAAGAGCGCGGCGCGAGAGACGCTTCGTGAGCGCGGCGGCGTCTTTTCTTCACCCCTCGCTCCTCTCACGATTTCGCAGCCTGCGTCTTTCAGAAGTATGCAATCGGCACGACACCCTGGACGTGCTGGGTGCAGAATTTTGCCCTCTGGAACAGACTGGAATAAAAAATTTGTTTGCTGTTCCTTATTTTCCAGTTTATTTGAACTCATTACAGAACAAATTCCTTTTTTTTTTTAATTATTCCTATTCAGCCTTCACTTCTATCCCTCTTTTGTGTCAATGAATGATAATTGAAATCTGGCTATTGAAACTCATGAAGCGGAGGTTCAATTAAAGAAGGATGCCGAAAATAATGTCAAAGATTCATTTTGTAAAGCGATGAAAGCAATATTTGTTTTCAACATCTAGATTGCGCAATTATCTTTTCATCATAAAAGAAAAGTAATTCATTATTTGGATTTGCAGTCCCAATTACAAACCAAAAGACGAAGAATTTTATTTTATACCAGTATTTTTTCAAATGAAAACTGAATTATGAAGCAACGACTCTGCCCTTGGGTCTAAAACGGAAAGAGCGATACAAGGTTTACAAAATGGCGCAATTAATTCTTTAATTTATTGACACATGTTTGTTAAAAATTTCGCAAGACCTGCTTTTTTGTTAAAGTATTAAATTAATAATGCTAATTGATAAACCTTATCTATATCTGATAACACGCTCTATATAAAATGAACATCCTCAGTACGAGAGCACCAAATTTTGATCTGAATTTTGTGATTGAATTTATTTATTGCGCTTTAGAAAAGGTTCTATTTTATTATTTGATCTGCACCAGGTTTATAATAATTAAAAACCACTACTTCAGTCCAAATGATGATTTTATTTCTTACAATTTTATCATCTCATTTAATTAACTTGCCGCTTCGTAGATTTTGAAAGTATAATTTAAAAAAATCGTTTTGATGTTTGAAAATTGTATTCTTAATCGGCATCTTTGTGAGCATTGCGTCTTCCTCCCAATCCACAAAAATCCTGCGTGCAGTGTTTGCTGTTGCAATTAGACCTTCTTGAATTGGAAAACAAACACGCGGGCATAACTCTCGCCAACGCCATGAACACCGCGCGAGATGCAAAGAGAGAAGGCAAAAAGGTGCACACACACTTTTAGTGGCTCGCTAATTGAACGCGGCGACCCGTCATTAAGCCACTTGAAGAAAAGAGACTTGTCCTGTTGGGAGTTTGCGGTAAATAGAGAAGCGTTACATTATATTTTTATGGACTTGTCGCGCGAGATTAATCAGGTTTTTCAGGTGTCTGAATTTTACCTATAGTTGCCGTTTCGAGAATTCTTTTTTGTCAGCGGCAACACTTGGACCGCCCCAATGAAATTTAATTTGCAATAAGCGCTGATATTTAATATAATTTTAAGCATATTTAAATATTATGCTATTTTTACAATTGAATTTTAGATAATAGAAACTTATTAAATTAATTTAAATTCTATACCGAAGTAATAAGTTTTTTGATTTTTTTATTTACTTATTTTATTTTTATTTTTAGGCAGAATTAAGAAATTTAAAAATGTCACTGCTTTAGCCATGAATATATTTTAATTGATATAGAAAAGTTTACAAATGAGTGTTTTTTTTGTCGGAAAGATCATGGGCTTAAAAAATTTTTGTTAAAATATCTTACGATAAGAAGAATTAATATTGAACGCCGTAGGACAATGAAGAAGTTTGCCAGAATAAAATGGCTTATTCTGTTGTTGATTAAATTTTTAAACTTTACAAAACGATGATCCTGATGTTACTATACTTTTGCCATTTTTTTCTTCGTGAAAACCAGTAAAGGTTAAATTTTAATTTGCCACTTCGATTTTACTTTTGTCTGATTTTATCTAGTTTTATCAAAGCCGCGCATTTTGAAGTTTAAGGAACTTTTTAAACTTTTTAATGGATTCCATGCCATTAATTAATTAATTGCTAAGTTTATCTATAAAAAATATTCTTTGTGTACACAAATATTCAAGTCGTTCACAATAAAAGAACCATGGCGAATTGTCATAGTAGATTTTTGTTTAGTTTGGTTTATTTCTCCAACGTTAGGCGCTACGTGTTGAGAATGAAAAGGTTGCAAAAATCCTAATCTGCAAAAAACGAACCTTGGAATTGTCTGTTTTGGCTGCCGTTGTGTGATTTGAGCAGCGGTGGCGTATAATTTTCTCTATATATATTATGTTTGTGAATGTGTGCGTTCGCAAAGTGAAAGTCGCTTGGCGTTGAGAGCGCGGCGCGCACCGAAATATATTTCTCTTTTTCGCAATCGCGGCGGCGAGTGCTGCGAGCGGTGTGGATGGTGCAATCCGAAATGAATGCCGACCATTATGCTGTCTTGAGCACTCCGAACAAGTGTGCTGTGCGATCTTTTAGGCTCTCACGTACACGTCAACATTTGCATTTTATTAGGAGCAATCACTCTTGATTTAGCACGATTGCGCCAACTTATAAATCTATGGCGTTTTTCTCAAAGGAATTTCTTTTTTGCTGCTTTCTCTTGAATCCATATATTATTTGAAATTCGCGTCTATAATTTGTATTTCTTTAAATGTATTTTATTTAAAAGACACATTCTTATTTGCCTTTCTCCATTTAAAAATTATCAAAAGTAGAATTTATTCATCTGTGCACCTACCTTTTTGTTTCCTCTCTTGTGGGTGGGCAGCCATTGCAAAATACCTGAAGCTGCGAGAAATTGATGCTTTTCTTCTAACAATTATTTCTGCTTAAATAACTATCGATATCTGTGCCAAATTTCAATTGAATTCAAATCTTTTATTGATATTTCTTTTAATAAAATTTGCAAAAGAAAAAGTTTTCAAATGATTGTATATATTTAATAAGTTATTATTATTAATTTTTTTTATTATGTAAACTTGAAGGAATATTTTGAATTTTCTATTTCAAAAGGAAATTGTTTCTATTGAAACAACGCTTTCAATTAATTTTTAATGTATAGTTTTCGTTTTTTATTTGTACGCTCATACATTCAACGAGGAAAACGATAAATCAATGATAATTTTACACATATAGATTTGCAAATTTACAAGTGGAAATTTCTACAAAAAACGATATTGAATAATAACAGGAATATTGAAGATTACATTCATTTTTTCACTTCACCAATAACATCATAATCCGTTCTGTATGATACAACTTCTCACTTTGACAGCAACAATTAAATCGAGAAGATGACTATTTTGCGTAGGTTGAAAATCTACATGACTAATAAATATTTATTTATTTTCCTTTTTATCTCTCCATCGTTACTTTTATGACACTTTCCTCTACTTTGCCATTCTTATTTTTGTACTTGTCTTAGATTTTTGATAATATTTCTTTTCTGGCTACAATATATATTTACAAATGCCAAATTATTTTCAAAACTGAGAAATTCTCATCTTTGGTTCAATTACAGTAAAATCTGGCCGGCGGGTTTCTGCCGTTGTTGCAGAAAACCGAGTAGGCCGTATGCTATTGGGACGCCTCGGTGGCTACGACACCCATGCCGGGCGGCGACATTTTTCCTTCGCAAATGCTGCGCTGCAGATTCTGCGTCAGCGTTTCGATCTTTCGCAGGGAAGATACCTGCGGGTTTGCAGAGCCGGGCGAACTCCTCGCCGGCGTGATGGTGATTTCGTCCTTGCGGACGGCGGCAGGGTCCATCGGCTGCTGCATGCGCATCGCGTTCTGCCTTCCGAGGAGGCTGGGGTTCGGGATGTGCCGGACGGCCTGGTTGGGGCCCGGTTTTGCTTGTGGATTGGGGAAGAGGTCATGGATGCGCGGTGGCATCCGGTTCGGAGTCATCACCGGCGACTCTGGTTTGTTGGCGGTCGGGATTCGAATGGTGACCGAGTTGTTCTGCGGGGGGGTTTTGTTCGGCCTGGGGCCGTAGGTGTTCAGTTTCTGCGCGTTCTGCATCCGGACTCCTCGCTGTTGGTGCTGCTGGACGAAGGCCTTGTACTGCTGCTGGGCTTTGCTGCGGATGAAGGCTTCGTTCATCAGACTCTGGTAGCTGAACGACGTGATTTTGCTCAAGGCCGCCGCGTCAGAGGTGCTGGGCGGGGAGGGCGCCTGAGGGGTGGGATTTGGGAACTGCCGGAAGAAGGCGAACTTTTCGTTCAGACAATTTTGGGCGATTTTCATGACATTCTGATCTTTTTTCTGCACAGCTGGTTTTTGGGGTTTCGGCTGTTGGGGTTGAGGCTGTTTTTGAGGAGCCGGTGGGGGTGGTGCGGCCTTAGGAGGGGCAGGAGGTGATTTTCTCTGCTCGATGGGCAGAACTGGTGAGGGAACTTTGGGGGCAGGAGGGGAGGGAGAGCCAACACTGCTGCAAGGAGAGTCACTCTTGCGTGAGGATTTTCCAGAGAGATCAAGTGCGCCCACTTCGTTGTGATTTTTGCCTTTTGGCGTCTCCTCTTCAGCCTGAGGAGATTTTGAAGCCTGTTTGGGCTGTTCAGGCTTCTTGTTGGCCTCTTCCTTGTTTTCAGGACTCGTTGTGGGCGTCTTGACGATTTTCAACTTTGTCGCAGAGTCGGTGGGAGCCACGGTGAGGGTGGTGGCGGGGGTGGTTTGTTTAGGGGTGCTCGGCTGCTCAGCCGAGATGATTTTGTTGAACTCCCTGGACATCTGCTGGTGCAGCTTGAGAGGGGAAGGAACCTGCTTGACCTTTGGTCGGCCGTTTCCGTGGCGCTCAATGACCACCACAGGTCGCATTTTGTTCTTCTCAATCATGTCACTGGTGAGTTTTCGCTGCTCAGCGGTGGTGATTGGGGGTGGGTTGGTCTGGCTTGGGCTTGCAGCAGACACTGGCTTGCTGATGGCCGTTGAGGTAGACACGCTGACTGTAGTTGGAACGCTTGAGGTAGGAGGAGGCTTGGCCTGCACTTGAGTTGACTTGACCATTTGAGGGGTGGTTGGTTTTTGAGTAGGCATGGTCTGTTTTGGTGCAGATTCCGGGGTTTTCGTCACAATCGGCAGAGACTGAGTACCAATGCTGGCCGTGGCAGGTTGAGGCATGACCGGCCGGGCATTGTTCTTCATCATTTGCTTCTGAGGAACCTTCTGCAGTTGAGGCATCTGCTTCATGGCCATCATGGACTTGGCCTCCGACTGAGTCTTGTTCAGACTTACCTTTGCCTGTTTCTGATTCAGCATCTGCTGCCTCTGCATTTTCAAGAGCTGCTGTTGCTGCTGCTGCTTGATCTGCATCTTTTTCTGCTGCTCCCTTTGCTGAGCGATTTGCTGTTTCAGCAAGAGTGAAGTTTGACTCGGAGGTTTCAGGCCCGGCTGAATCGGTTTCGGGGGTTCTGAAGTTGCTTTCGGAGTTGGGGGTGAGGGGGTCGGCGGCGCAGGGGAGACGACTGCTGGCTTTTGCAGACGGGGTGACTCGGCCGGTTTCGGCTTCTTGGCCGGGGGAGCGACCGATTCGTCCGCTGGCAGCACATTGGGACGCTTGCTCTTTTCCTCGGGTTTGTCGAGGACGCGCTTTGGCGACGGCAAACGTGCGGCCGGCGAATTCTCCTTTGCAGGGCGTTTCTCTGGTTCTTCCAACGGCACAGACGTGCTGTGGGTGGAGGTTGCGAGAGGCTGGGAAATTTGTCGCTCAGGCTTGCGAGAGTCGCCCGCCTGCGTGCTACCTGCCTCGTCTGAATTGACACGAGGGCGTTTCACCTCACCATTCACGTTGTCGGTGATCGTCCTCTTCACAGACTTGGTGCTGACTGCGTTGGCCGACTGCGGCCGCGTGTAAAAGCGGAAGTAAAACTTCAGCAGTCCCTTCTGCAACAGAAGGAAATATCGAATTTTGTAAAAATGCAAAGCTAATTTTTTAAATAAATTTTAAATTAAAAAATTTTTATTTTAGATAATTTTAACACAAAGTAACAATTTATTAGCTTTTTTTTAATGAAACCAGAGATAAATAATTATATAAAAATGGTCTATATATTGAATAAAAATCACCCACCTTTTTACATGAAAAGATGTAGCCTACATCCATGAGTGTGAAGTGCTCGGGCAGGCACTCCTTTTTGTAGATAATGTCAACCTGCAAGCAGAACAACAGCACCAAGTCAATAAACAGTTCACTGTATTTAGCATATGTTTGATAATTTGCTTACAAAAAGTTGTAATTTAATTTTGTTGAATTTGGTCATAAAAAACAATTCAAAGAAAAAAATCATTGAATGACGTATGTTTTAAATAATAGAGTTATTGGATTGAGTTTTAATATTGATTTTATTTAAATAATGCGCGAAAAAACTGACCTTTTCATTCTCAGGCAGACCGTATTTGCTGCGCAGGAGCTTCTTCAAAATCCGGATGCACACAGCGGCAGGGCATTTGTAATACCGCCTCGTCGGATTCGGCTGCAAACATAATTAAATGCAAATTAGTTACGCATGCCCTGGTCGCCCGCTCGCTTTCGGGTGCAGACAAATCTGAGCAGCACACTTACTTTTTGCTCCGCGTCGCTCTCTTCTTCCTCCGGCTCGTCGTCGTCCTCCTCCTGATTTTCATCGTCGGTCTCTTCATCGTTGCTGAAAACAAATTAAAAGCGACTCGCTTAATTAATTTTGCTCCTTACAGCGACGAAAGCAAATCGTTTATGCATATCGCGGCGGTGCGTACAAATTAACTGTTTTATGTGCTTCGGCGCATTGGATAAACTTCCTCCAATTAAGCTTTAATGTATTCAACAGTCACGACTGTTTTCAAACAATCGGTGCTCGCTTGCAGGTCTTTGCACCTCTAGTTATGGACGCGCTATGCGGGTGTAAATATTCTTTATTACATCACCACACGCCATGCAATGAGAGAAATGCGTTCCGAGTGCACGCAATTCGGAAACTTGCAGGAATAAATTAAGGAAAAACTTGAAAACTCGTGCGGCTACTTTGAGCATTTCCCCGTCAAAAGTTAATAAATAAACCGAGACCGTAAATGATAATAAAATAACGTCAAGAGAGGAACATGCAAAAGTGCAATAACCATAAAAAAGTCTGAACTTACTCTATGTAGTACTCGAGTGACAGCGAGATGCTCTCGTCCGGAGAGTAATGCTGCGAATCGCCAGGTTCGCCTCGCATCTCGGGGGTCATCAAGTTGTCAGCTTCTGGTGTTAGAATACCTGTCAGACGAACACCAAGAAAACGCGTTATTGAATGCGCCGCGCGTGCAGTCACAAGAGACGTCAGTATGCGTCAAGCTGAATGAGACAATCAGCCAACAGATTCAAATTGCTAAATAATAAATTATAAAGAAATGGCAATGCTTTTTTGATAGTTGATAATTATTATAATATTTTTATTTAATTTTAATTAATTTAAAAATCTTGTAAGTAAAGGGGTAAAATTTGAATTAAATTTATTTAAAATTAATAATTATAAAAATATGTTTATAGAATTTTAATTAATTTAAAAATCTTGTAGGTAAAGGTGTTAAATTTGAAATTTGATTTAAATTTGCTTAAATGTGAATTTAATGAGAATCTCATTCAATATTTTATTTTGAAAGATCCAAAATTAGTATTATTTATTTAAATTTACCTTTTTCCTTTGATTTGGAGTAAAACTCTCGCCTCTTGTGCATCTCTGAAGAGTAAAAACTGGGAACGACTTTGTAAACCAAGTCCTGGAGCATTTTGTCTGGTCTGAAACAAGCAGAGGGCATGGCAAAGTTGATAACAAAATTCAATATTTTTTATAATTAATTATGAATTTATCTAAATGCTGTTTTAAAAATTACCTGAGATTTTGCAGAGGTTTTGACTTGTGTATCTGCACGTCGCACATGGGGCAGTAGTTGCTGGTGTCCAAGTACTTGACGATGCATGATCGGCAAACTGTAACAAAGGAAACCCAAGATTTGTGTTATAACAAATTGAGGCTGGTGATCATTTGACATTTATGGTTCTGAAGCAGCGGGAAAACAACCTATTTAATGGGGGAATCGTGTCTCTGCCAGCAAAGCAGACCGGCCGGCATCATATCGAAAGCAAAGGACAATATTTATTTACGAGCCCGCCCGGCACTTCAGGTGCCGCCACTTTTTTGTTTAATAAACGCGCCGACCATGCGGACCCGGCAGGAGAGAGAAAAAGCTCCAAGGTAATAAAACGCGCGGCGAGTTTATATAACCCGCCTTTTTATACTTTGTGTAAATCTCTCCACGGTGATGAGACATCAAATATTTTTATTCACCCATTACGAATCCGCTGTCAACACAGGACGAAAGGTGTGGAGGAGTTTTGTAGATTTAATTTGCTTGAATTTCACCAAGGCCGAGTTAAATTTTTTATTATATTCCTTGGGTTAATTTTATTGGTTTTAAATTAATAGCAGACAATTAATTTATTTGCAAATTTTGTACGTCGTATTTTGAAACAAAAGCTTTCCCCGGACGCACATTTTCAACACTTTCTACGACTTCCTATAGCCGGACTCATTTCCGCGCCGCCCTTGGCCGGTGAATTGGTCCAAAATCCGGGAAACAGACCTACAAGTGCAGATGTGCTTGAAAACTATAGCCGGGCGCGTCTCTCGCACCCGAGATCGATACATGTGTGCTCGGCGTGCCCACAAAGAGCTGCATGCACGTCTGCGATACACCGAGCATGGGATAAGAGGAGGCGGCGCGAAGGGCAGGCAGTCCAAATTCATACGCGGTGCACGCGCTTTCGATATCACACGCTGCGTATAATTTATTCGAATGGAGCACTCGCCACTTCCGCGAGTCGCCGAGTGAAGGACGAGCCGGACGGACGCGACCGTCTAATAATAAAAGCTTGAGCTGCGGCTTGCCGAGCGAGTGGGACTTTTAAATCTAATATGAGATCTAAACCACTAGATCAAGTTTAATATGGAAAAATTTTAAACATAATAAATTTTTTTATTAGAAAAGTATCAATTTTTTATTATTGTTGTTTATTAAAAAATGATATCATTCAAATAAAGCAATTTGCAAATTTTCCAAACTTTTGCATAGAAAAAATATCGTAAATCAAATCATTTTTAACTTCATTTTGAATGAAATCAATTAAAACTAAACAATTTTTTCTAATATACATTTTTTTACAAGACTTGGCCTTTTCTCATGCATAATGCGCCAGTGTAAAAATTGAATAACTCCCGAAAGATTTTGTTGTGCAAGAAGGGGCCATTTTTTACGCCGCCTTTCCTTTTCTTGCCCATTGAATTTTGAAAAGCGTCGTGTCCGCTTCTGCTTTGTGCAACGCGTCAGGCGAGAGCAGCGCATAATGAAAAAGAAGGAAGAAAAATCGCCGGCCGGCCGCGCTCTTTTCATTTGTTGTTATGACGACTGCATGCATAATCAATGTAAAGCATAGCAAGAGAGTCTATCAAAGGCGCCGAGTTTTCTCAAGATTATACGGCCTAAGCTGTATACTTATGGCTCTCATTATGAACAGGGATTCGGGGTCTTTTCTTTCCGCTTTGACATTTGGATAGGCTGTTTGTCTACCAAGCGTGACAACCAAACAAAGACCGCAATAAGCTTGTCGGTATTTTCTGGGATTTTCATCCAATTATATTTTACATGAGCCAAGGTAATTTCAGGATAATTCATTTCAAGTAAATTAATTGAAAATTGTCTGTTGACTTGAAATATAAAATTGGCCAAGGGAGAAGATATGCTGTATGATTCCAACCCTCCCTCAGGAGAAGCCAACTTTTATTCGATGTGTGTTGGATTTGCATGCTCTCGCGACTATAAAATTGCTTTCTCAATATACCAGCACGAAGCGTGTGAGATTTGAAGTTGCATATAATACAATATTTTACGAGGTACGTGATAAAAATTGCCAATAGGGCGCACGCAGTTTACAAAACTTTTGAAGTAAACGCGGCTTTGTTTTGGGTTTTTTGTTAGTTTTATTATTTGCAAAGATTTTTTTGTCAAATTAAAGCGGATTTATATCTTTTTATGCATGATGACGTGAAACAATTGAACAAGTACTGCATTCGGCACATTGGAAATTTTAATTGAAAAAAAATATGTGCAAGCACGTGTTGAAGGTCCACGTGATGCACAGATGCGGCGATCGGAACTCACATGTGTGCAGACATTCGTTGATTGTGGTCGCGTCGACAAAGTATCCCATGCAAATGCCGCACACCAAGTGCGAGCGCAGGTCCTTGACACACGGCCGGCTGAGCACCTTCGAGGAGTCCGACATTTTCAGCTGAAGTGGTTTCCAATCAGAACAGCCTGCAACAAAGAGGAAAATAATATAATTAAATTAAAATTACTGCAATTTTCTATTGAATAAATTTTAAAATTGAAAGGAGATGTTTGGGTTTTTTTTATAAAAAGATTATTCCAGTTTTTTTCCCTATATAATTATATTTTCATTTTATTTAAATGTTCATAAAATAATATTTTGCTCTGAGAACCACGCGCAGTGAGAAACAAAATTGGCCTCTCACATCCGTGTACACACTCAATACAATGACTCCTTTTTTTTTGTTCTCGGCGCAATAACTGTGTCTTCCGCTAATTCAATTAATCGCGAATGCACCGTTTGCGGCCGGAGCGAGAAGTCAATTATCAAAGAAAGATACAGATAGGCCGGTGATAATAAAAGTGCGCAAGAATCGAATGGCGCGGCCAGCGTGGGCGACGTGATAAATGAGTTGGCACCGGCAGAAAAATTATCGACATGACTTGCATCAATTAATCTCTGTGCCGGCGTGATTATTATTTATGCTCCCCACACGTTTGGGGGCGGGGAGAGGAAAATAATAATTTCACATGCATGGGAAAACAAACAGGTGGAAGAAAAGTGCACCGCAGTGTGTTTGAAGAGTTTTTTTTACAGCAGGGGTTGGTGGATTTTCCAAATTGGAAAAACTTTTGCAGTCGCGGACGTGATGAGCTCTCCCGCGCCGAAAGAGATATATTGATTGTCCCTCTCGCGCCCTGTGTCATGAGCGACGAAATAGGGTATGTGCTTTTGGTGGCGGCGGGTCTTTATTGGAATAAGGGTTGGCAAATCGCATTATCCGCAACTGCTCATCCGCGGCGTGGGAGGAAAGAGCAGACGAGGGTACATTTTGGCGCCGCGTTTTGTTTCCATTTGGGTAATTAGTGCTCTGAACGAGTTTTAAATTAATTAACGATGGATTTATATAAAGTTTCGTGACTAAAATTAAAAAAATAAATTAAATTAAGTAGCAATTTTTATTTTCCGTAAATTTTGTAACCGCGACAATACTTTTATAATCATTGTGAAAATTCCATGTCATTGATAATTAATTTATCTCATTAATACAAACATTTTAATTTACACTTGATTTTTAAAATTTTATTTCAAATTTTAACAAATATCATATTCATGATAATAATTGTAGTGTTTTCTCAGCAAATATTTTCGATTTTTCTTTTTACTCATTTTGCATTAATTTTCATTATTTTGGAGACCAAATTAATGTCCCCAAACGTGCGCGAATCCAGTTTGAATCTCTCTCTGGCAGCTCCTGTGCTGCACAAATCGATAGCTCTTATATTCTTTTTGGCGTTCGGCAAAGCGAGGGCGCACGAAGGTCGCCGAATTTTTCCGGCACACACGTACGCACATGTACGTGAAACGTAAAAAAGACATCGGTCATGAAACAATACGCCGGCGACCTTGCCGCAAAAGGAGAAAAGAGCGAGAAAGAAAGGACCTTTGGCAGCTCGGTTTCATTCTGCGCGCAGCGTGGATATCATCAAAGTAGCGGTGGTGGTCTCGGTCTCTCTGCTCATGATGCGGCTGGTTGCGCACGGCTCTGACGTCACAACTCTCTCGTATTAGAGCGCATCTTCCTATGCTTTGATAAAACTGCTTGTTTTGATCTGGCGCGGGTGCAGCGTGGTGGGAGGAGCCCTCGGATTAGCGTTGAGCCGCTTAATTGAGCCTCGCTCCCTTTGTTATAGCGCGTGTGTGCTGTGCCGCAGTGTTTCCCCGTCCAAATATTTAAACAAAACATATAAAAAAATGTAATCAGAGTGAGAAAAGGGAGGACGATAGAGGGAGAAGCATAATGCTGACGGGGATGGACACGATTAAGTGCTTAATATATATATATATATGGAAAGGTCTTTGTCATTAGCTGACACGCAATGTCCAATCATTGAATCTTCGAGGGCTTCACTTGTCTTGTTCCCAACCACTGCACATTGTCTTGCTGCGTATCGAATTGAAGCAAAATATTTTGAGGCTTTATATTACCAAAGACTAATAAATAATCTAAATATCTATAGTAAACGTATTTAATTATCTATAAAATTTTAAATTTTACTTTGATGTCTGTACAAAATTATATGATGTTAATTTAAAAATTTATAAATACTTGAGAAGTTATTAAAAAAAAAATTATTTTATTTTTATTTTTTAACCAGTATTTTTTTCTTTTAATTACATAATTTTTTTTCTTTCTCTATATTTTAGTCAAATCTTGCACGCAATATAAGTATAATATTATTGAATTGATTTTAAATATAAAATAAATATTTTTAATTTTCCAAAACAAAGAGACTGTAATGTTGGTATTAAAGATTTGCCACACTTAAACACCTGACGGAAACCGAGCACTGCTATTTATCAATGGTCGAGATCGCAAGAGTGTCTTTGCTCGCACTCTGAATCACCGTTCAGCTCAATCTCGGCTGCGTGACTATCCAATTTCGAAAGTATATTCAACCCTCAAGCGCCGGAGATAAACTCTCGTCTCTCATCGTTTCGCCTGAGAAACGACCAGAAATTGATTTCCTTAGCATAAATGCCACTTGCGAGCCGCTCCGAATCAATCACCAGACATGAAAACCCAATCATTTCCGTGATAAAACACTATTCATCATGTCTGGTCGGAAGAGAATCGCTGCAGGGTCGGCGCAGGTATATATTGACAAGTAAATATTTATTTGATCTCCTCGCCGGCAGGCCATCACCATTAATGAGACCGTCATTAGATTATATTCGATGCCGCCGACTTCTGGGACAGATTGAAATAAATATATAAACGCGCGCGTGTGTTGATTGCTGTCTGCCTGCTCGATATTTGTCATTGATCAAAGCGAAATAACATCTCAATAAAACAACTGCTACTATACCGAGTCTCCAACCGGTATATAATGATAATGCTTTTCTTGTACAAGCAGCGACCTGTTCAACCGTCTGTGAAAAGCTGTGACAATGACAGTAACCTTAAAAAATCACATGTACGCTTGGACGGTTTTGAATAATGAACCGTTTGTAAATGACTTTTTTAAATTTGAAAAAACAAAATCAATTAATTAGCAAAAAAAAAAACTGAAAGGAACGGATTTTGCCATTTTTTAGCGAATCTTAAATACTTTGAAGAATAAAAACTTTTTATTTAATAAAAAAAAAATACTTTTTGAAGTATTTTTGTAACTATTAAAAAATAACATAAATTATACGTTAAAATTTCTTGTCAAATTTTGATCTTCATCGTGTATTGTTTTCTATGATTATTTGGATGAAAACAATTATGTATAAAAGGAGAAAGAGTGAATTATATGAGTCAAAAATTTAATTTGATAAAAAATTCCATTGTAAAAATTTTGCTTCATTACGCTTGCATCGGTTTCAATTACAAAATGATTCACGGCACGCTTAAATTTCCCAATTAAACAGAGTGTTTTCCTGCAAACAACAAAAGCCTGCTCACTCGCCGATCGCTTTTGATCAATAAACGCGCCTCGAATAAACGTTCGCTGATTTTTTCGCATACGTCTGGCGAAAAAAATTGCAAGGTTTGTTCGCCAGCAGCGGCAGCAACAGGTTGTCTGCTGAGATCGGCTCTCGGTGCTCTCAACTTTTGAGCCCGTCTGGCCACCCCCGTCTCTCTTTTGAGCAGAGCGTGCGGCGAGTGTTCCGGTTGCCATGGCGACAATTAGCACAATAATCGTGAGTATATCGTACCCGCGAGGCGTTCATTCAGAGAAAGATACCATCGGGAGGTTCCTGCATTCAAATGCGCGCCGAACTTGCATAAAAGGAGAAAGAAAGCAAACAAGCCGACTTTGTTTATGTGACAGTTGCAGCCATGATAAGTATCACAGGATTAGGGGATGAAAATTTTCTTTATACCTTACAAACACGCGGAAAGTTAAATGAAAAAATCGATTTTTTTTTCAAGCCTCAATTAGTAGACATTTGCTAGTTTTGCTTAAAAACATATTTTTTCTCATTCTCAAATTTTATAAAAAAATTTAGCCAATGGAGAAGAGAAATTAATAGTAATTAACAAAATAAACCAAAAAATTGTAATAAAAACAAATTAAAATTAGGCTTTTTGGTTATTTATATATATTTTTAAAAGGAGTAAAGTTTGTATTGGAAATTTAATTTTCTTCTTGCTTATATTATAATAAAAACCACCCAATTACAAGCTGTTTTTATAATTTTCATATAAAGACAAATTTAAAATATTATTTTTTATTTAATCAAATTGGCCGATCCATATTTCCTTTGAAATTTTAATGTAATTTGAGCTGAATAGCTCCTCTGATTAATAAATTGTTTGTCAGCATTAAACACGCGTCGGTCCCCTTATTTCTTGCAAAAAAAAAACTATTCATCTCGGCGTGGGGTGGTGCGATCTTGATTTTCGGCGGCGCGGCGGCGTTTTCACTCTTTTGATATACAGCAGACAGTTTATGAATCTCGCTGCGGGAGGCGACTAACCAAGTTATGCTGCGCGCGATAACAAAAGAGAGAGATGGGAAGCTCTCTTGCTGATGCAAAAGCAGCCCCCCTGCTTTAATTCCGCCAAGTCAAAAGAGCATTCGGAATTAGTCTCGTTGCGAATCGGCACAACACACAAACTTGCTTCTCTTCAAACGACTTATATACAATTAAATTTTGCAGTCATTCAAACTTTTCAATCGCAAAGTTTCTTTGTTGAGAAAAGTTTCATCAGTTATTAAAAAACTTCTCATCTTTTTTATGAAGTTTTTGTTGTAAGAACTTTTTAACGCAAACTTTCAGCACCAAACATGAAAGTCCTTTACTTTTTATCCCTTAATCATCGTGGCTGCAATTAATTTGGAAAGCAGACGTCTGGCGGAAAGCGGCCGCAAAGAGGGCAAAAAACTCGTGCGGTAATTTACAATTAACGGATTATTCCTCCGCCTGCTCTCGCCGCCGTACTCACCGTGGCGTAATTAATTTTTATTATCTCTCCGCGCGCGCAAAAGTACCGCTGAATAAAGCCACCAAGCCATTGGACAAAAAGCAAGGCGGTTCCACCGTTTCTCTTTTTTTAAAGGAAGTATAAGAAAGGTAAAAAAGGAGACCAGAAGCGGAGAGAATTAAAAGAAACGAGAGCAAAACGTTTGGAATTGTAAAGAATGCGGCGAGGAATGCAGTCTGATGACTTCTGAGATGTGGTCAAAATTAATTCACGCCTCCCATATAAACACAAATTTTACTAAATAAGATCAAGATTTCAGAAGTGGACTGTTGAAAGAGGAGTTTTTTGTCTAATCTCTTTGGAAACATTAATTCCTAGGATAAAATGAGTCAAATTTAAAATAAAGGTGGTTTTTAGTTTGAAAATATACATATTATGTTGATAAAAATGAGAAATTGAGTCTGAATTTTGTATAGTTGAGTTTTTAATCAAAGCAATATCTCTTATATTTCTGAGTTAATTAAGAGAGCTATTAAAATTTAGATTGACAGTATAAATGCAACAAGACAACTAATTTTAATCAAGTGAAACAGGAGACAAAAAAAAATATAATTTTATGTGTTTCCAATCACAACTTTCTCTCCTTTTCTAAAGACAGATTTTGAGACAAAATTATTTTATTAAAATTTAAAGGAATTAATCCTTCTATTGTAATTAAATTAAATAATTTAACTTAATAGAAAAAAACAAGGCTCCAAATTAAATTAATTTTAAATTCCTTTTATAAATCGCAACTAATGTAAA